GAGACCTACTGCTGCTGAGGCTGCTGCCACACTGTTCGTCTTCTCCTGCATTTGTTGTTGCGTTTGGGATAGAAGGGCCAGATCATCTGCGAAGTCAAGATTGTCCAATTGCATTCTAGATGTCTATTGTATCCCGTGCTTCCCTTCAGATGTTGACGTCTTAATGATCCAGTCGATCACCAGAAGAATGAGAAAAGGTGAGAGTAGGCAACCTTGCTTGACACCGGTCTTTACTTCGATTGACTTTGTCAACTGTCCTCCATGCACGATTTTGCAGTGCAATCCATCATATGAGTTCTGTATGATATTGACTATCTTCTGAGGCACGCCGTAGTGTCGAAGAAGTTTCCATAGTGTTCGATACAATATACCTCTATTAGTTCCAGTAATCTGATTACATAATATGATAAGTGAACTTCAGTAATTTCAGAAACTATATCATTCTATGATGAATACAGTCTTTAAGATTCAATAGCTTAGTTACAATTTATATATTCTATCTGTCAACTATGTGAAAACAGCTATTCATAATTGAGATACATTTTTTTTTCTGAATAAATATGAATATCACGTATTATAGAAACAGAATATACTTTCCAAATATTTTCTTTGATGTTATTTATTAAATAACAGTAGTAATAAGAATGTAATCGGTATTATCTAATTCTAGGGTTTAGAAATTAATATTTCTTTGGCAGAAAATTCGATTTTGAAAACTTTCTAGATCAATGTTTAGATTATGAATAATAAGTAAATATATACGTGTATTTTCTGTATTTCACAGAATTATAATTATCAGAGAGAGAGGGGGGGTGCATATCCATGATCCGGCCTCGCAAAATGCGAACCAAGGACCTATGAGTCTCGCGCACGAATGTTTAAACTCTAGATCACCGTGTCGGTATTGAATGGTGTTAATGTATAACTTCAACCAATCCACAAAATCATGCCACTGTCCACTATCTCGTGGGACGGGATCATGGATGTACACTGTTGAGGAGTCACATACTAGAACGAAAATGCTGTTCGTTGTTTCCAGATTTTCCATGGTGGTCAAACTACAATTGATTCATGAATTCAAATAATAACATTATAATAATCTTTATTGATCATCAAAGATTATTTCATTCATATTAAAGAAGTATGAAAGTATGTTATTTACCTAGATTTTTTGAAGAAGTGTTTCTTGTTGACAGGTCTACAGGGATTATTATTTTTATTATTCTGTGTAGGAAGACAAATATTTTACGCTTTATTTTAACAAAACGGTAGACAAGTCATTAACTGAAAAACATTTAGCGGGCCCGTAGATCTGACTCCATTTAGATCGTAATGATGAATGTTGTTGAATTATATATGTCACCTGTTCTCGTATACAATCATCGACTTAAATCACGTTAGTCAATAACGGAATATAGATGAGTCAATTAACGAGAATGGACTTTCGTATACATATATTTTGTATGTAAAGTGAATGTATTAGATCAAAGCAAAATGCCGTGCAGTTGTGGAGATGGCTGGTAAGGCAACTCATTTTTAGCTAGTTGTTACTCAATATTTATAGGCAGTCAAAATAAACTACAGACATGTAATGAGACATGGGATACGAAGTGTACACACATATACGCTTATATAAAAACAGTCAAGACTCATAAGCAAATAATTAACAAGGTGAAAATATGACTCAAGTAGATTGAATAGATTGTGCTGTCAGAAAGTTAGAATAAAGTATATGGGCTTAACACAATAACTAACACTACAGACATACGAATAACTAACAGAGTGTTGATAATCTCAACTGAGTAAAATATTTGGAAAGTTAGTTACAACTTTAAAACTTAACTGCTGAACTATGATTATTTATTTATTTGAACACATAAATATTATCACAGATTGAAATCATGAGTCAGTTGAAGCTAGACCACCATTGAAAACCTGGAAGCACTGGACGGCCGTTTCGTCCTAGTATGGGACTCCTCAGCAGTGCGCATCCACGATCCCGCACCACGCGGGGCTCGAACACAGGACCTACTGGCTTCGCGCGCGAGCACTTAACCATTAGACCACTGAGCCGGCATCCATCTAATGGTTAAGTGCTCGCGCGCGAAGCCAGTAGGTCCTGGGTTCGAGCCCCGCGTGGTGCGGGATCGTGGATGCGCACTGCTGAGGAGTCCCATACTAGGACGAAACGGCCGTCCAGTGCTTCCAGGTTTTCAATGGTGGTCTAGCTTCAACTGACTCATGATTTCAATCTGTGAAAATTTCTAAAAAATCTCCACAAACCCCTTCTGATAACATAACTATTAGTACAAAAGGGGAACAGATACATATACACAACACAAGTCACTTGATTTGTGTGTGGGCTGTGATATTGACATTAATTGGGTGGCCAGACCGAAGCAGGTAGGTTTCTTAGCGGACCACACTCGGATCCTTCGACCTAAAAGTCTGATTCGCAAGGCAGTGGAGCAATGTTGGGAAATTCAGTCTCATGGTAGCCGTTGACCAACAATTGGTTCGTACGCTATTTGTTCACTCAGGATGGTGGAGCCCATGTGCACCATTTGTTTGGAATCAGATTTTTCCAAATCTCCTAGGTGGGTCCTTCAATATCCACTAACTCGTCTAATGCGTCGAACATTCTTTTTTTATCCTCTCAGTTTCGCAAACAACACCGGTGCTATGAGAAGGAAGTGAGTAGGACTTCCGTGTCAGAGGCTGTATACCCGTGTTCATGTGTAGTATTAATCGTGTGGGAACTGAATTTCCCCACCGTCGTCCGTACCAGAACATTTGGGGGCTAATGTCGATAGATTTAACGACTATGTATCAGCAATAGAATATGTTCAAAAACTGCATTAGTTATTATAATAATTTGAATGAAAGCAGAACAAATATTGATGTTAATTAATATTAATTCATTATATTTCGTGGTTTGTATATTAGAAGAACCGAGAGATGAGTATGCATTCGCATTTCCGAGCATGTTCCAAAGAAATTAAGGCTGCGAGGGACTAGGGCTCTCAATAGTGCAATAGCTCGGCACTTACTTGACACCGAGCATACCATTGATATCTCTCAGGCTTTTAAAATTATTAGCAGACAAAGAAGTACGGCTGCTCTCCATTTTGCTGAAGTGATCGCGATAAAAAAACTTAGACCTGATCTATGGATGACATTAAAAATGAAGAATATATATTTGTAAAATTTCAGCGAAAGAATTTGAAGTAAATCCAACGTTTTGCCTGGCAATCTGGTCCAAACCCTTTCAAGGAAAATATAATCAAACAATAAAATTATCGAATATAAATAAGTACATGGTTCTCTGGTTTACCGCATGCTGAATAAGTCATCCAGTCAACGTGTACAATGTTTGAAATTGGTATTTACATTATTGTGCAAGAGATATGTAGTGTGAAACGAAGTGTTAAGGTAAGAGATTACATGTATACGTAAGTGATGTGAGAAGAAATTTCATTCAACTATATAATGTCTTCGGTCTGTGTCTATTAAGAAACCATACCATTTTAAATATGAAATGAATTAAAAATGTCACAGAATGCATTAAATGAAAATGAATAAACAAGATGATCGATAGCATTCGATCTGCACTAATAAGGACTAGACACGGATGACATTGATCGCCACCCAGTGATCAATCAATTGTGATTACATCTCAGTCCTATAGGAGGTCGGCTGCGGCTGTGAAACTGTGTGACACGAGATCGAATCCGCCAGGGAGTACCAGTTCCCTCAAGATTACAGGTACACCTTGCTGACGAGTGCCAAGTAGCACGAAACCCGGGTCTAGGGTTTCCTGTTGACTACTTACAACCACCATCTAATCTCAATACATAGTGCCCGCAGTGTCGAGTCACCTAGACTGGTGGCCACATTGCAACATAATTGATAGCATTCGATCTGCACTAATAAGGACTAGACACGCATGACATTGATCACCACCCAGTGATTAATCAACTGTGAAACAAGATTAGTAAACAAGATAAAAGACTGAATTCAATGAGGAATGTACTTGTAATGGAAATTTTGTGTTATTTTAATGTCCCCGTCAATTGTATAACATATTCAGATAAGATAACTGATTTGAACCGTTGAATGTATTATCTATTGATTAGTTAATATGATATAGACAGATCAAATGGAATAAGGAGTTCAGGTTTACTTAGTAAATATTAGTTGCCATGGGACAGCTAGTTGTATTCTATCGCTCCTATTAATACTGTATGAATTAGCCCATATATGTAGGGCTTCGGCTGTTAGTCGTTCTTTGTAAGAATTAAAGCCTTTTTGAATGATTCTCGTGCCATTGAACTCAATTGTATGGCCCGATTCAATCGAGTGTATGTATTCAAAAAGAGACAGTCAAAAAGTTATTACTATCCTGGTAATCCCATTTTTGTGCGTGTTTTTTTCGTTATTAGTTTTTATTCCTCTCCCATTACAGAATTCTTAAACCACCCTTTCACTTACACATTTCCGCTGACTTGATTCTCTATTCAGTTACTACGTAACCTAACTTATCAATTTTTTAACTCCATAAATTCTTTATTACCTCTATAATTATCACATAATTTACCTTGACACATGTCAATTGTCCCAAACTATTTCTTATCTCAATGTAACATTCTAATACATATCAGTGGTCATAATCAGCTGATGAGAAACCACGAAATATAATGAATTCACATCATTCTGCATCAGTATTTATTCTGGGTTTATTTAAATTCATAAAGGGAACTAATTGCACGAAACACCATTGGATGCCGGCTCAGTGGTCCAGTAGGTCAAGTATACGCACGCCAGACTGAAAGCTCTGGGTTCGAATCGCGTGAGCAGGATCGTTAATGCGCACTACTAAAGAGTCCTACAATAGGACGAAACGATCTTTCAGTGGTTCCACGTTTTCAATGGTGGTCTTATATCAATCGATTCATGATCTCATTCTCCACAACTTCTATACTCAAAACATTGAATCATTTGCTTAATGAAAATATATAATTTATTTGATTAATTAGTTTATCAAAACAATGCAAATGAAGTTTTTTTACTTTTTGGAGAGAATAAAAAAAACAAAAAACAAAAAAAAACAAACAAAAGAAGGTTACATATCAAACAAGTAAGTGATTTAACTCATTTGATTTCATTTACTAAACAATCAGATACATTCAATTAAACAAATTCTCTAAGTAACCAAACCCTCCCCCCCCCAAAAAAGAAGAAAAAAGTATGTCTTGACTAAAATGAATATTCCATCAAAAATCAATTCAGTTTTCTTTTTTTTCTATTTTTTTTCTTTTTTTTAGAGAAAAATGAAAAAAAACATTTTTTTTCTTCTATAAACAATTTGATTCATTTAAACGTTAGCAACAAAGAGACTGAGTTTCCCCCCCCCCCCTTCTTCATCTTTTTCAAAATCAATATGAATTACAATATCCATGTGAATGTTCAAAAAAAGAGAAAAGAAAAAAAGAAAAGAAAAAAAGAAAAAAAGAAAAGAAACTAATAGTCATTGAAGGTCAATGATGAATAGTTTTTTTTTGTTGTTTTGAGCTCTTTCTCTTATTCAGTTCCATTAATTTTATTGTCGTCATTTAATTTTAACCATTTTAATTCTGTATTTTTCGTACGATTATGTTTATTTTCAGCTTTTTGTTTTAAATTATAATATAATAATTGTAATGAAGCAAATAATGTTAAAATCATTTTACCATTTAATTCTTCAAGATGTTCCGGTAATGTGAATACACGAGCACCGGCTTTATGACAGCAAGATATAGCATATTGACGTATAGATGCATCGTCTACATTATTACCTAACCATATTTCTTTATTTGTTGAATTAGGTTTAATATGTTCTAATAATTGTAATATAGGTATACCAGTAGCTAATGCTGGATCACGAAAACTATGAATTGGTTTAGCTTTAGCTTCATTCATTTGTCCATTCACCCATGTTAATATATCACGATCATCATGTGGAATATCGATACCACCTGGAGTAACCTAAAATAAATAAATAAACATGAATTATCAGAAGAGATTTTGTGGAGATTTTTAGAAATTTCACTGATTGAAATCATGAATCAATTGAAGCTAGACCACCATGGAAAACCTGGAAGCACTGGACGGTCGTTTCGTCCTAGTATTGGTCTTGTTGGTTAGGCGCCTGGCGCGAGACTGATAGGTCCTGGTTTCGAATCTCGCAGGTACAGGATCGTGGATGAGCACTGCTTAGGGGTCCCATACTAGGACGAAACGGCTGTCCAGTGCTTTCAGGTTTTCCATGATGGTCTGGCTTCAAATGACTCATGATTTCAATCAGTGAAATATAAATTAATTTATCTACTTACAAAACATAATGGATAAAATGAGTTTTAAATGGTTATATTATTGTGATGTGCAGTGTCGCAAAATCTTATATTGATGCATGATATGCTACGCAATAACCCTCACAATTGACTACTTGAACGAAAACACAAGAGTGAGCGAAAAAGTGTATTGAACCACTGAATGAAATTCACAAATAATTATTCATATATATATATATATATATATATATATATATATATATATATATATATATATATATATATACTAGTCTATCCTTGAGAAATTGACCCATTTTAACCACAAGGAAATGCACTTCACCTCTGGGTCAGTTCTGATTGCTATCGATTGATCTTCTCATTAGGCTACTTCTGGCTAACTCTCCATATAACCTTCCCTTCTGAAAAATAAGTCCTGCAAACTGGATTTAACTGAAAGTGTTGATGGGTTTGGCTGACTGTATCGATCAGATAATCTAGTTGCATATTCGAGCTAGGAGGTCCTTTGTCTGAATTTAATCGTTTGCCAAGGATGCCATTTTCATGTCGCGTCAGGCGCTTACCTCAAACATCAAATTCGTACATTATTTCACCTATTCTTCTTACGATAACGTCTGCTACCCATGTTGATCCCTAATGTGGTAAGTTTCTTACAAATACTGGTAACTCATTAGGAAACTGCCATTAAATCTCTGCCAATTGGGTTTATAGTCCCGTCTTATTCTCCGTGAATACACTCTATCCGATGAAGTCTGAACCTTCCTTCGGAACATTGATTCAGCAGAGGAGACACCATTAAGTGAGGCGGAATTCGAGGTTGTTTTGTGTGCCTTCAAGAAATTCTGGATGACCTCCTCCGTTGCGCCCTCTCCTTGTGACTTGATGAGAGCTCGCTTGAAGGTATTGACGCAACGCTCAGCTAGGCCTTTTGACTGGGATGGTAGGGCGATGACAGAATGTGTGTAATCGCGTTCTTTAAACGGAAGTTTGAGAGGATTTCTGATATGAAGTGAGATCTCTTTTCTGTAATTACTGTTACCGGAAAAATAAACTGCCCGAAAGATCTATTCTGCACCGTTATTGGTAAGGTCAATGAGGTGCGAGGCATTAAATAAATTTCTGGCCATTTTGTAATTGAGTCGTTGATAGTAAGAAAGTTTTGACCGTTTATTAGCCCATCAAAACCAACGTTCAAACGGGATTATGGCTTTTCTACACTTGGCCATGGAGATGACTGTAATTTCGATGGTAGTTTCTTGGCTTGTTCACATCTTGGACATTTTTTTCGAGATACACAAAATGTCCTTATCCATCAATGATCGATATACATAGCTGCGTGTCAGTGATATCACAGGCTGCAAACCAGGGTGATCTAACTGGAGTTATATCATTGTACCATGAAAGCTAACCTTAGCATTCGTGTATTCTCCAGAAGGTGTTTATTCATATTTATTGATCACTTATTAGCTTGTATTCAAATACATGAGTTATTATATACATGGTATTTGTTGATATGAGTCACATAAATTCACTACGTAATCTACATATCAACACATTTAAACGTAGGCATTGAATTTACATGGGTTCCATAACTTCATTTATCAATTAACACATTATTCACCTAAGTAAACTGTAGTTGTTTATTTAGCAATCAAACATAGGGCCAAAAACACAAACAAATATTTACCAAACCGTTGTCAAGTTCTACTTGTATGTTATTAGGTTTCATAATATGATGATAGTGAAGTAGTAATTCAGTGTGTACTATTGTAATGAACAAGAACACAAGTGGAGACAGTTGAATGTATTTGAACATAAAATATTACAGAATGTTTTATTAAAGTCTGTGAACCATACAGTAAATACTTCATTTGCAAAATGTCAATCTCAGACTTCACTGTTCCTTCGTTTCCACATCAACCATTCACTGTTCTTAGTCTCTTCTCTTCGATTTTCTTAACCTTCTACCGCCAGATATTTCACTTTTGATTGATGATACATATTACTTATATCTATCGACAGTAGCACACACTGTCCAAATTAAATTATGTGACACCAAAGCCTAAGTTATAGTCTGAGTTATTTATAGCGGTTATTATATAAAACTAAATGACACTAGAAGACAAATAATTGTCAAGGTACATAACCAGTAACAATACTTATCATCATTAATTATGGTAACGTTTGAGATAGAAATCAACAAGGAATTTATCGATTATTAATTAAATGAATTCCATTAAGTCTATTTACATTAATTAAGTTCATATATGAAAAAATCTCTTTGAATTACTTGAATTTCACTGTTAATGATTAAGTGTGTGTGGAGATTATTAAGTTTTTTTGATTGAGATCATGAATCGATTGATACTAGACCACTATTGAAAACCTGGAAGCACTGGACGGTCGTTTCGTCCTGTTGTGGAACTCTTCAGCTGTGCGCAACCACGATCTCACTCGCGTGTGTGTCATTTACGTCTGAATTTAGTGATACCATCATTATATACTTTGAAGCTAAATGAAATCTTCAGTATGCCTTGAAATATATTTCAAATATCATTTATCTTCTTTCCATCTCGTAACCACATTGTTTATTCAAACTTTCAGCAGACATTAAGACATATTCTCCGTATTTTTTCATCATTCTGTTTACATAATTTTCAAAGCATTCATGTTTTTAGTATGGACATTGATAAATATAATTCAGCTTAAGCAAATATGGACAGTGGCCAGTAGTAGAATCCAGTTTGCCTCGCGTTTCGTCCAGTTTGGGATTAATGAGCTGGATGTACCGGCATTTCAGAGTTAATGTTCACTCTGGGAAACGAACCCAGTACCATTCGCTTTAAACGCCATCGTGTTATCCACTTAGCTACTGAGTTTTGATAGCCACACCAATGAGAAGATTCAAGTAAACAAAACCAATTGACTTTAAACTTTACCCCATTGTACAAGCAAGTGACTATCATGACTCAGTAGCTAAATGGATAACGCGATGGCGTTTGAAGTGAATGGCACCGGGTTCGAGATAATTTTCAGCCCTAAAACATCAATGGGAACATTCAAATAAACAATACCATATGAATAGAATTCAGTCTGTTTCTTTTGTTTTTATTTTCACTAAAGAAAGATGAATTCTATGTAGCAAATCTTTTTTTTGGCAGAGTTATCATCTATTTGTTCTTTGTAAAAGCATGAGTAAACTTGTAAACTAGATATTTCTTAGTTTAAACAACATGCCAATTCTTATTATCTCTTCCACCAACATACAGTTGATGGTGGTCAATCGTCTTGATAAACTGTAGATTTGACCCGTTGATTTTATGGAGTAAACATTGTTGACTTCAATAGATTAGATTAAATAATCGATAATAGTTTCTGGGAAGTACTTTGATTGATCAGTTATCAATACATTTGCCTTACAATATATGTGAAACACATTAACTCTAATCATTCAAATTCAATATTGATTAACGTACACAGTATGGTACTTCATATTGTGATTTTATTTCATATCAAATGGCTTATATTGATACTATCGACAGAATCAATCTATGAACATGAATAAATAATTGAATAGTAAAGAATCATGTTTGATCTTGTTTAACTGTGAGGTGACTAAAGCTACGACTAAACATCAGTTTTATATCATTGGAAACTATCTCAATTTTCTTATGTAGTATTGATTGCTTACCGAATGATGGTTGGATCTTTCAATGAAGAGTTTAGTTTAAATAGTTCAGAATTATACATAAAATTACATTTTTAATGTTTCTAACACACTTGAAGCCAAACTGTTCGTTGAAGTTTCGATGAAAATTCATAAAACTTGTTATTTGACCATTTAATCTTTATTGTCACCGGGTATGTAATAGTGAGGTTGGAATCTGGGTATTAGGGAATAATGGTGAATTAGTTGCTAATGTGATTCTTCATACACTAGGATGGTTGAGCCAAGTGTTATGTATGCCTGAACACCGGTTACCACGACACGCAATGCTGACTAGTGTTGAGGATAGTTAGAAGTAAGTTGAGGGCAGCCAGATCGAAGCGTGACATCAGCCCTTGAAGTTACTAACTTCTAGTCTGAGCCATGTTGGTAGATGCAGACTACTTGTTTGGGGTCCGTGTGACTATCGTTATCAATGGTTGGAGACACTGGGTGACATGACTCAGAATCAATCACAATGGCGTAGGTATATACACTATTTGTCTTCCCTTAAACCGTGAGATTGAGATTGATTTCTACCTTTCTTTTTACCAACTAATTCTTTCTTCCTGTATTATATCCTCATACACAATCTTTCTTTTATACATTACTACCATGGAAGTGACTACTTCTATGAGTTTGTTGTTCATCTTATTATACTGATGAGGTTTGACAAGTTGGACCGATGGATATATACCCCTGATCCTACGTTGTAACTGACTGACTGATTAGTTAGTTGGATAAATATATATTAGTAAGACTATCGATTAATGAAATGTATATATAGATGGTAATTCTCTAGAATTAAGTTGGTTTCATTGTTAATATTTTACTGAATTGAAACTTACTGTATGAGTGTAAACTATGATTTATAATAGTATAAACTACGTGTAACGGTAAAGTAAGGGACGCTGAAATTAGACAAAAGATACAACGTGAATTATAAATCTTCATCCACTGAGATGGTTAAGAAATGCACCGTGTAAACTCAACCACAGGCTACCTAGACTGTTCATTTCACCTAGTATAGGGGTAGATTTGAAGAAATCCAATCTCAATATCATTTTAAGTCATTAAATAATAAACTTAACATATAAATGAATCATAAAACTTACTTCATGAAGTAATTTAAATATATACGCTTGCATCAATGTGAAACACACGCCCAATACTAATTTACGATCACGTTTTTGTATATCTTTACCACTGACATTAACAAAACGTATATTCATTGATTGAGCTGAATCAATAACTAAATTACAATTGCCTGTTTCTTGAAATAAACGACGTTTTGGATCAAAATCTTGATCCACTAATGACCAATCGACTGAACCAGGTTTAATTTTTTCAAATAATTGTAATAATACTAAACCATTACTAAGATCAGTATATAAATGAGTTACATATGGTTTAACACCAAGTGAATTAATCCAATTTCTATAAGTTCTTTCTTCTAATGTTTCACCTTCTACTATAAAATCATCACGACGTGCATCTAAACCTGGATACATATTGAATAATGTAGCAAGAAATGCTAAATTTAAACGATCACGATTATCATTATTCTTTTCTCCAGCTAAATAAATATCTTCTGGTGAAAGTGTAAATGGTGTACCCAATGTTTCATTATTATTCAATACATTCATTGCTCTTTCTTGACGACTAGTTGAACTTAAAATTTCACTAGCAGACATTAATTTACAACGTTTATCTATGGGAACAATTTGTTCCATTAAATGAGCATATACAACTGAATCAGCTAAATCAGAATTGAAATTTGTTATACGTCTATCACAACCAGCTCGATGTAAATGATAATTAACCCAACGCATTAATAATTCTTCTGGTTTTAATGTAGATAAATCTTCAGCAGTTTCTCCATCATGTAATAAAGCTATTAATTCTTTATGTCTGTTCAATGTAATTGTATCGATTAATCCACGACGAATTAATTGCCAAATTAATCCTAGAACAATGTGTCGTTTACCTTGCATAATATCCTCTGGACCAGTATTTACTACACAACATCCAATAGAAGCAGCTGAATTAACAGCCAGTGTAAGATTTTCATGAACCTAATAGTCAAAATAAAGATAAAAAGAACAAATGCACTAACAGATTAGAATGATCTAATATGTGAACTCGATTCCACTCTTTGAGTTATGTATACATACTGATACAGAAAGTGAGATTGACATCATGGAGCTGAATGAAGAATACGCTCACAATATGATAAACTAATGTTGAAATTTTAAAAACGTATCAGTATGAGGTTGTAAAGATTATTATGTTTTTGATTGAGATCATGAACCGGTTTGATGTTAGAACACTATTGAAAACCTGGAAGCAGTGAATGGCTGTTTCGTCCCTTTGCGGGACTCCTCAGTAGTGCGCATGCACGATACCACCCATGGGATTCGAACCATGAGCCTTCGGTCTTGCGCGTGAACGCTTAACCTCTAGACCACTGAGCCGGCCCGCGTCCAACCGTGTTGATGTTTAACCTCAACCAATTCACGAAATCGCGTGACCATCTTCCATTTTACTTAGGTAGATACCTATCTCTAGCTGACACGGATTAGCTTTACTGGTCACGCTTATTAGTTCAAGGAAACTTTTTTGATAAGCTCTCTTCATTTTGTAATTAAACATTAGGTGTATCCTTCATACCATAAATTATTTCATATTAGGTTAAGCAAGTTAGTCAAGTCATTTGGTATTGGTTACTTGAATATTCCCGTTGATGTTTAAAGGCTGAAAATGATCAATCTCTCATTGGCATATGTGTATACTGTGCGTATTGGCTCGATATCGCCTTAATTTACAAGCATTATAAGGAAAGATGGCTAGTGGCTAGTAGTGGAATAGAATTTGACTCGCGTTTCGTCTTATTTGGGACTTATCAGCTGGATGTGCCTACATCCTATAGTCGATGTTCCTTCCAGGACTCAAACTCAACATCGTTCGCTTTAGACGCTATCGTTTTATCTGCTTAGTCCTGATAGGACGAAACACGCTTATTGGATTCCACTGCTAGCCACTATTCATCTTTACTCATTATATTATCTAGAATTCATATTCTATATATTCATATTCTATCTTTCACTTCTAAATAGCTCTAAAGTGTTATACATCAATGTTATGAAACTATTATCTACTTTGTTGTATCTACCTATCAAATTATCTTATATAATAGATGATCTGTGTTGTTACCGGACGATTCCTCCTATCTCTACACATCTAACATTCAATATAATGTAAAGATTTTAAGATTATTTCATTTAGATTACTATTTTTTTATGTTATTTATTATGAAATTCTTTAATATTGACCTTTAATTATTGATTAGGAACAATGTTCACACATAGACACAAACTATAGAGATATCTATGCATAGTAACGAGTTTATTTTAATGAGATTACTTAAATGGTATTACAGAAATGATACAAAATAACTTGGCTTTTCTCATTCATACATTCTCTACTATTTTCTTCTTCTTCTTTTTCTTCATTGATGTATTTCTATCATAAACAAACTATGATAATTATTTCATTAATTTTATCATGATTATCATATCATATTTATATTAGTGTCATTCATGATATAAACTAAGTTATTTGTAGTGTATTTTCACATTACTCTGTTGACAAGTCATTTACATATACAAATATATATACACATAAGATACATTCTTAGAGTTATTGATTCATATATAAGTGTAACTATGTCATATGTATCTGTATTGTACGTGTTCTCTTTCATTTGTGTCACTATAAGAGTAACAGTAAATTCACAGTAATTGTCACCATAAGTATAATATGATAACTAATTTAACCAACTAATCAATAATAATACTAGTAATAATAATAATTATTATTATTCAGCACACTTCCATTATTTGGTAACAATCACATTTTTATGATGCTTTACTAAATCTGTAATTGATCAACTCATAACACATTACAGATACACAACAAAAGAAGAATATCTCGATAGAAATGAATAAGTGACAGTCAAGTGTGTATGTTTAATGTGTATATAATACTGAATACAAAAAGTATTCTTAAATAAAATGAACTATTTAGTAAATGAATGATTAAATGAATGAGTATTAAACTGCTAGGGTTGAAGCTATCACGAGTTCACTGAATCTGCGAACGAGAAAACAAGACTCGGTGACCAAAAGACCAGTAAGCTAACTATCGATGTATCCCAGCCCCGCTAACTAGAGGGAATTGTTCAAGCTTGGAATGGGGAAGTATATTCTACAAAACAACCAGAAACGAGCGATAACAACAAACACAATTCAAAACGTATATATACAGTGCAAAACCGTCCTTGGGAAGAATTACCAAATAGCATACTAAAAGACACAACGGACCAATAACATTTAAGATATTTCTCAAGTGGGAAATACGATATGAAGATGACAAAAGCGCTTTTGGTGCGAAAATAAAGAAATTCAAATTTTCTAAATAAAATTACAAAATTAGGTCCTTTTTCAAGTGAGTTCTGGAGATCTAACATCCCCAACACAAACAGATAATCTAGCATGCACATTGTTGAGGAGTTTCATACTAGAGACAAAACAGTTAGCTAGTACTTTGATGCTTTTCATAGTGATTTAGTTTAGATCAACTCATAAATTCAATTATTAAAAAAATTACTATAATATTCACAAAATTCTATTTTAAAGATAATTATTTAATAAATGAAAAAATAAACAACCTCAATAGTTGAGATCATGAGTTAGTTGAAGCGAGACCACCATGGAAAAACCTCGAAGCGCAAGACTGATAAGTCCTGGGTTCAAATCTCGCGAGGCGAAATCGTGAATGAGCACTGTTGAAGAATCCTACTTAAGGACGAAACAGCCATCCAGTATTTCCAGGTTTTTCATGGTGGTCTAGCTTTAAAGAGAGCAAGAACAAAAATTGGTGCAGAATAATATGAATTCATTTTATTTCGTTAGGTTCTCATCAGCTGCTTACAACCTAAATTATTTAAAATTCAACATTAATACAGATATTGACATATTTATATATAAGAGTGTGATTAAGGATCAATACATGTGTATGATGATGTAGCGAATATTCAGATAGAGTTAATGAGCTCATAAAATGTTTGATTCGAATAAATAAATAAAGTTTGAGAGGGAAAGTTCCAGAACATTGAAATAGTGATTAGAACTCATGAAAATAGATTAATGGATAATAATGAAAGATATGAATTGAAATCAATCATTTATGTATGATGTAATTTATATTTCAGAAAGAGTTACAATAATGACGCAATAAATAAATAAATAAATAGGAGCAAATTAATAGAAAGAGTGGGGGTTATTGTTACCAGGGTAAAGAAAGATTTATTACTGTCTCTTTTTGTATACATAGATCTGGTTTTAAACGTTTGATTGCTAACGCTTTAATTGACTCATGATCTTAACTATTGAAATTACCGTAATATCTACAAAAACCCTCTTCTGAAATAATCGCTTAATGAATTTCTTAATACACGTTCATGTTATAATAATAATATTTGAAGTTCATTTAAAATGAAGTTACTGGGAACTATTGAAGGCTTCTCTTAAATTACATAATACCTAGCTGAATACAATCGGTAAGAAGTCTAGTTTTCATTAATTTCCTTGTTAGTTTACACATGTCAGATATCTGTAAAAGGGTTTCATTTATTGCTGTAGGATTCATCCTTGTCTCATTCAATATCACAATCAGAAATATTATCACTAAGCTATTTCTGTTCTATATGAACACTGATTGGTCATTCAACAACATTCATTGAAACTATCAAATGTAGCTTTGAAAATTAGACATATATCAACTTAAATAGCGTGTTGGTTGGATAATCAGCCCAATAATTACCTGTAGACTTCAAGCCAGATCATCTTATTTGACATAAAATTAATCTCATACAGAATAGTCAGTGATAACTACAATGGTATCTCGGTAATTCTGTAGAAATCTACCGACTGACTAACTTACTAACATTGATACTATCTGACGACATATAGAATCATGTTTCTGAGACTGTAAATTACAGTAACAATGACAAAAACTGTCAAGAATTTGAACTGTGTAAATCACTGATTTTGAACACCATCTGGAATCCTAACTTCTAAGGAATGAAACAGTTGTCATCATTGGCTGAAGATGATCGTTATGTCATTTCACAAATTTATTCAAAATAAAAATCCACACCACCATTTGATCCAAATCAAGTGATCAAATAGTTAAACACTTATTGAAAAAACCGAATATCTTGTACATGATCGCTTAGAAAGTCGTGAGTACAAACTCAGTAGGAATCCTGTATTAGGAAAAAATTTCTGTCTATTGTACACCCTAGTGTCCCGGTTGATGCCGTAACTGACTTCAATGAGTGAAATATCTCATCGACAATTTAAACTTATCAAAAACTCTACTATCCAAATGAATCAAACCGCAAAATCATTCGCTATAACCAAGTCCCAAGACTTTGAATTTCTTACACACATCAGGTCAGTTACAAAGCTACTGTATCTAACCAACCGCTAAATCGTCTGTACATACTTTATGAATGGTACTAATTGTTCTGAACAACTGTTGTTGATTAGTAATGAGTCGAACCTAAAACATATTCATAGTAAATTCATTCTAACTAACATTAAAGTAAACGAATGTTTAGGTTTTCAATCAAAATAAACTATCCGGGTAAAGTATTAACATTGATATATGTCTGTAATCTTGATTGTTAACCGAATAATATCAGTTTAACCAAGAGTTAACTAAAATGAAATCCATTAATTCATTAATCAATTATACTTGTTCACATTCATATCTGATTAAAAAAAAACACAACACTAACAAACTATGACTTGTAACTGATAAACTGAACTAAACAGATCATTCATTGTTTAAAAAAGGGACCTTGACAGTATTTATTGAATTATGTAAATGATAGTGGATGAATGAATGTAGTTTGTTTAGATAAAACATTGATTAAACATTGGGTTTAATGAATTGTATGAAACATTCACGTCAATATGTTCTGATTACAAATCAGATATAATAAACAATTTCAGCTCTTTGTTCCTGGATCATAAATTTGTCCATAGAGATGGTGTTACAGATATAATCGAGTTTATGAAAACGATAAAACTCAACTAGTAAAGTTGTGTGTACTCAGTATAGAGGCACATTTTGTATCAAGGCTAATGATTCTATCTAGCTACCCAAAGTGAAACACGTAACTTGGGACTCGAACAAGAGAGCTCGTGATTGGCAGACAGACCCCTTCATCACTTAGCCGTTGTTCTACCATATACAGACGTTTGTTTCATAATTTTTGAGGAGCAAAGAGAATTTTTATAAAAATTCATTAATCAATGTCTGTCAAATTCTTAGTACTGACTGAACTTTATCAATCAAGCAGCGATGTGAACGTCAAGCGACTTCAATCACTAGGCTATACGTTCCAAGGAATACCTCACTTACATGTAAGTAACAGACATCGAATTTTAAAAGAAAATGTCACAGTTCTTCCCCAAGCAGCTACGTTCATTCATTGAGGACTTATAGAGAAAGTTTTAGTCTGAAAACAATCTGACGATGTTAGTAGAGTGTTCTAGCTTAATGTTTAATTGTATCAAATTTTAACCTTTTTTATTGAGAAGATTTAGGGTCACAACATGGTACTTGACTGATATAAACAATCAACTTTGGTTAAACAATGGATTGTAAATAATAAAGTTTCATTCTAAACTATTAATTGAAATCCCGTCAGCTGAAAATGATAGAATCAACGTAAGTTATCTCTGTAAATCGATTCTAACGAATAAAAATCACTAAATTTCAGTTAATGTGAAACGAACTCGTGCGAAATAGCAGAGAACGCCGTTTCGTCCTAGTTTAGCACTTTTCAGAAGTGCTCATCCACGATCCCATACATAGGACTCCAACCCATGACCTTTAGTCTCACGTACAAACGCTTAAACTCCAGACCACTGAACCGACATCCAGCGGTGTTAATGTGTAACTTAAATCAACCCATGGTCATGCTCAACCCTTCAACCATTGTCTGATGTGGATAACTGTCTCGAACCCACACAGATCGGACTCAAATGGTCATAGCCGTCCAATACTTTCAGGTTTTCAATGGAGATCTAGCTTAGATCGACTCATTCAGATTCAGATTTGTGTAGTAAGCACTGATTTTCACAAATATTCATGAATAAATGAAATATAATTATTCTAGTACAATTATCGCATAATATTGACGATGATTATAACAACAATAGCAACAATACAGATACTTACATTGAAAACATTTTTCAAACTAGGTCCTCTATTTATACTTCGTTCATCAATAGTATTTGGACTGGCCACATTGACGAGTTTACACAATAATATTCCATTTTTACATCGTTGATATAATTGACCATCAACTGATGGATCAACTGGTAGAATTCCATCTTGTAATTCTACATCATGACCCAAACGTTTATTGATCCAAAGTGTAAAACCTCGTTCTTCTGCTTTACTAACTGAATGTCGAGTATCAGTATCATTTTTGCCAACAGTAAATGACTAAAAGAAACCAAAATAAATAGAAAAAAATCAATGAATAAATTAACTATTTCAATTATTGGATTTATTGTGTTTATTAACAGTTGTCTACGCAAAATACTTCGGATCCGTTGGTCAGACATTATCCGCAACGAGCTATTGTGAGAGAGATTAAACCAGATTCCAGTGGAGGAAGAAATAAGGAAGAAGTGTTGGAAATGGATAGGACACATATTGAGAAAATCACCCAACTGTGTCACAAAGCAGGCCCTCAAATGGAATCCTCAAGTCCAAGGGAGGAGAAGAAGAACAAAGTACACATTACACCGAGAAATGGAGACAGACATGCGAAGATTGAACAAGAATTGGATAGAACTAGGAAGGAAGAGCCAGGACAGAATGGTTTGGAGAATCCTAGTCGATGGCCTATGCTCGAATGCCGGTGACAGGCATAAGTAAGTAATTATTTTACCCAAAGTAGACAGTTTTCTGTTCTTTATTCATTAAATAGAAGACAATGTTTAAGGTTCTATTAAAGTCGATTGTCCAGGATTAATTCATTGAATAATTTTTTGATTGAGATCATGAAACGATTGATGTTAGACCACCATTGAAAACCTGGAAGCACTGGATGGCCATTTCATCCTATTGTGGGACTCCTGGTGAGAAGCCGTGACCAGTGGAGCTAATCCATGTTGGGCAGAAACAGGTGTCTACCTCAGTAAAATGGAAGGTGGTCGCGCAACTTCGTGGATTGGTTGATGTTAGACACTATCACCATTCGATGTCGGCTCAGTGGCCCAGTAGGTCAAGCGTTCGCGCACGAGACTGAAGGCCCTAGGTGCGAATATAGCGAGCGGGATCGTGGATGCGCACTCCTGAGGAGTCCCACAATAGGACGAAATGGCCGCGCTGTGCTTCCAGGTTCTCAATGGTGGTCTAACACCAATCGGTTCATGATCTCAATCAAAAACTTAACAATCTCCACAACCCCTAAATTGACATTGAATAATTGTTTTAAAGTTTCCTGGTTCTAAGATCAATATGACAACTCCACTTTATTATTTTAAATGATAAGAAATGTCGATAATTTCTTTGGAATTATAGTGCAACAATATATAGGTATGTATCTTTAAGACTCAGTTATAAGTATTACTTTAGTACAGTGATGAGAATTAATTTAGTTCGATGAAAGAAACTGAAAGAGAAGTTTTCCGTCTAAATCGACTGCATTTAGTTTAAAAAGGCTTAGTTCTTGTATGGTGGTTGCTATTGATATCGACAGATATAAGTAGGATATATCATCAATCGAATGTGGGATACCTGGCAGCAAAAAGTTGAGAAAATCGAACGGAAGACTACAAGGACAGAGAGTGATTGATATGGAAATGAAGAAACAACAAATTCCGAGACAATGGAAATAGTTAAGATAATGTATAAATTTCATTGAATGTAATGATTATCTTTCAGCAATATATGATTATTCTCATACTAGATGTGTTATTGTTGACATTTATTGAATATATATATGGAAAGGTATAACTTTATTGACGATTCAAACATGACCTATCTAAATTAGTTCCTCGAATTCTATTGAATATATACCAGAACTTTCTAAATGTTCATTGGAACCATTTGTTCAAAAACTATGTTCTATTACAACACCATGTAATCCATTTATTTTATCATATACAAAGTATACACTTAATTTCCTAATGATATATGTATATATATCTGTTATGTCCTTGGACTGTTTACCCACTTTTGGTGCTGAGGATACTTATCTAATCCGGGTTAAGACCTTGGTGCGATAGGCTAACTGACCTAACTCTGGTAGAGAGAAGAAAACTATTCCCTATTCACATCTACATCTATATCAAGACTTTGAATATATTCACTCATTCATTTGTTACCTATTTTTCATTTGGATAAAAGTTATATAAGTTGAAATCATGAGTCAATTGAAGCTAGACCATCATAGAAAACCTGGAAGCACTGGACGGCCGTCTCGTCCTAGTATGGGTCTCCTCAGCAGTGCGCATCCACGATCCCGATATAAAACATAAAATTCTCAATTGTTTATTCACATTTTTACTCATATAATTGGCATAAGTCTTTTTCTTATTGCATAACTTAAAGTTGACAAGGTCAAAGTATCATTTATTGATAACCATAGAGTAATGTTAAAATGATATTGGAATGTTCACCTAGTTATTACAGTTGTATAAGGGTTATATGAGAAATTAAGATTAAGATTCACAATTGAATGTTAAGGTTAGGAATTAGACTTCATGTTTTCATTACGAATTAACATCAACTAAAATGTCAAAATGGTATTTAACCAAATGAATGAATGAATGAATTTCGAGCCAAAATCCAAGATCTACTTCTTGAAATCTGATTGGTTTGTTTATAAATTCTAGATTGTGAATATTTTAAGTTGCCAAGACTACATGAATATTTATACGGATCATCATCATATTAAATAAGTTGACCATGCAATAAAAATTGTATTAAATAAGTTTACTTAAAACTACTAACAAGTAGTAATAACTGAAGATGTTGAATGAAGTATACAATAGAACTTTCTAATTGACAGATTTCATTGAACTGAACACAAATTAAAATGTACAAACATCAACATAAACAAATTGATAGAAACTTTTAATTATGTATTAAACTTAGTCAATATAATAGTCCCAATCTTCTGCTGCCAGACATGATATTCCTGACTCGCGTTATATACTACTCATGTTAATATAAGTAGCACGCACCACCGTCCAATCTGCCAAAAGCAACGTATATAGATATATTAAGATGAACTCTATAGTACCTTCTATTGATCTAAACGATAGATTTATTATTCATTTTAACACCATATATTCCTCATATCTTTGAAATAATCTCAACGATTTGAATTTAAGTTATTTTGATGTTAGATTCCATCATTTGAATGACAATCGCTGAGATGATTCCCAATCTAATCTACACAAACAGGATCTTCTACATACTCAGTGTTTGATTTGTGTTAAATTATTCATAGAAATGTAGAAGAATATTCATATAAATTTGTCGCTTCATGCTATTATAAAGCGAAAAGAATTGGCAACCTGCTTGAATATCTGGGCTACCTATTCTTGTTATCTATCTAGATATTTTAACAAGTTATATCATTACGGGTATTTATCACAGAACCTATTCAGATACGTATGTGAAAATGTTTACAATGTTTTGTTGTATAAGTTATCAAAGAGTACAGTCAGAAATATCGTGGTAATTGAAAATAGGCAGCAAAAAATAACTGTACATTATTTAGATGTCGACGGACTGAAATGCTAACGTCTAACTAGCGATCAATCAGTATGTTATTGCGCAGCAAAGCTCATTATCAAAGAAAGGACAAGGTGGATGTTTCATTCAAAACCTAAAAGACATGTAAACGATTGTGTCACATCCCATTGTATTTACCAATTTAAATGTGTGTGTGTGTTCACACATACATAAGGAGGAGCAATCGTGATCTTAACATTAGGATGAGTGAACATGTACCCAATGGCTTCAGAAACAAATACAATCAAATGACCCGATAAGAGCTGAGGATAAACATCCATCATCCTCTATTGCTAAACATATAATTGAAACAGGTCACAAGATTGATCTAAATCCAGCTTTTGTAGTGTTGTATAAAAGTGTAAAAGAGCGTAGACTAAGGTTTATTGAAGCCTTAGCCATACGAAAATTCAAACTTCCTTTGTGTGTTCAAAACAGTTTGTTCTTACCTTAAACCTACCTGGTAATATTGACTGATTATCCAGAGTGTTTAGGTTTCGAATTGTGTTCATATTATTATTATTACTCTTATCATTATCCTTATCTCCTCTTACCCCGTTCCCAGTCTAGTTGACCTTTTATTTTTATATATAAATGTTCTTAACAAGTATCTTATGTGTGATCAGATTGTTCGAAGTGTATTGCGCTAATATATCATCACATAGTTCTGATAATCTTCGTCTTCTTATTACATGATCGAAATTTATCAAAGGTACTAATTGCTTCAATATGTTATCGTCAAGATCGACAAAGAAGTAACAAAATGGGAAACGTGCTGAAATACTTTGTGCTGAGAATTCTATACTGTACTAATCATTTTCTATGTCAAACAATACGAATATAAGAATTCACTATCAAAGTTAATTCATACCATAGTTACAAAAGATATATCTTAAGAATAGAATCATTCGCTTTGTATTCTCATTATCGTTTATTTACAATGGATCTCTTAGTTTATTTATCATGAATCGACTTATATGAAATCTCCTATTACGGAGATAATAATCATGACAATTCTTGATTATCATTTAGTTAGTTGAGTAGTTAAAATTATTGAAATGTTCAAGGATAGAACTACTTTTCTCTCAATTCTTTAAACCTTATCTGGAGTATATTCCATATTAAAAACGATCACTTCCAAGGCATGGAAGTAAGTCAACGGGTAGAATACACGTTAGCTATGTTCTTTAAAAGTCAGTCAGTCAGCTACAACATAGGACCAGGCACATATATGCATCGGTCCAAGTTGCCATACCACATTAGCACAACAAGATAAACACCGGATTCATAGGAATGGTTAAGTTAGGTTATAGATTAGATCCTTAAACATTTCGCTAACATTTATTTAGTACAATATTTTAACTGTCACTTTCTATTCAAGATTATATAGTTCATCTTCAAATGATAACGCTAACAACGGATTATATCTATAAAGAATAGAACATACCTTTACATCTTCAGCATGTTTTAATAATAATGCTTTACTAATAGCTTTTGTTGTATCTTTCATATCTTTAGCTTTTTTATATAATTCATGAAATTCATCTGGATTAAGCCAATTTCTTTGTTGTCCTAATAAATCTCTTATTTCATGACCAGCTAAAGAGACACCAACAAGTTCTAATGCACTTTTTATATCATCCCATGCAATATTATTAGATTCACGTAATGATTTATATTTATGAAATAGATCATCCCATTGTTCTTGAGTTAATTGATTTATTGACATTGTCAAAGGATTGAAGTATTGAAGTGTTGAATGAATTGAAGAAGAATTGAAGAACTAAAGTTAGACGATGTATAGAATGTTTCAAGAATTTGTGATTTGATTTATATACATAAAATGAATTCCAAACAAAATAACAAACAAATCATCAGATTCTAATAATCATATGATGATCAACCTACATTAGGTATGTAACATTCATTTATTGTATAAATCTGTATAGAAATGTAGATATACATTATCAATATAATTAGATATCATGAACTACATTGAGTGTATCCAATGTGAGTAGGCATGTCTGTATAACAAATACTTGAATAGTAAATATGTGTGTATAGTTAACACTTTGATAAGTAAATTACTTACTAACAATCATTAGTGTTAGTACATTTCTAATCATCTGAGTGCGTGTGTGTGTATGTGTGTGCATGTGCCTGTGTGCGTGTGCGTGTATTTCAGTTATTTTATACTTAAGTAGTCTATTATAGTTGCTGTGGCTAATCAGATGGTTACCGGAATCGAGTTTATTTAATTGGCAATGATTCTGTTTAAACAAGTATGTTAGATAAATCAACAACAACAAAAAGAAAGATTATTTACTATGAAAATGGTATCAGAAATGAGTAATTTCTAGGGGAATCTATAGTGATACGATAGACAAATAAAAAAAAACCACACTCAATATTATTTGCTTGATTTACAGATAACTTAGGCATTGATGAATCGCGTTTTATTCTTCATATGGCTCCATTAATTACACCTGTTACCTCTGATGGAGCAAAATATTCCGTTCAACAGAATTCTCCATACAACACTGACCTGAGCAATCGTTTTTAATTAATTCCAATTTTTATTCATCCTTTTCATTTATGCTTACGATTCTCGATGCATTGTGTTCTATGATCTTCTACTTATCAGTTTCCTTTTAGGATTCCTAGTTAACGCTTGCATCGTCAAGCAGTTTGTTGATTTCACAAAGGTGTGTCATATCCACCTCCAACGACTTAAACTAATTTCCTCCTCAGCTGGAACGTGGTTTCTTCTCTCCCACAGTAGAATGTCGCTTATGTTATCCAGTCAACGAATATTCAGTATCTTGTGTAGACAATTCTTTCGAAATATTTGTACATTATTGAGTAGGTTTGTGTTAGTTCTCTAAGTTTCAGCTCCACATAGTAGAACTATTTTGATGTTCTTATTGAAGATTATGACATTGATATTGGTTGACATTTGTTTTGAGTTCCTTATGTTGTACAACGGTAGGAATTCGGTCATTGCCTTGTCGATCATCAATAATACTGCAGACCAGGTACGTGGACGTTCCCACCTCTTCCAGAGTTTCTTCATTAAGTATGATCGTGCTGGTATTCTCCACGTTGTCTTTGAGGATCATGGTTTTTCCCTTGTGTATGTTGAGGGCTACTAACGCATAGTCTGCTGCTACACTAGTTGTCTTTATCTGCATTTGTTAGTGTGTATGAGATAGTAGGGCCATGTCATCTGTGAAGTTCAAATCTTGTAATTGATTCCGATCTATCCATTGTATTCCGTGTTCCCTTTCAGATATATATGGCTTCATACTTATGTAAATTTTATTTATACGATTTTTAGTCTACAATCCGACAAATTTCAGTGGTTGATAGTTTGTTTTATCAAATGTCAACCATGTACAGCAATACTTAATTTATGAATAAATCAGTCACGAAATGTAATGACTTATCTAGCGAACCATTGAAAATAAGGGAGTACTAGATAGCTGGTTTGTCCTAATACGAGGCTTCCCAGAATCAACAGTCCAGTCACCGTTCGGATGAGGAGCGTTAAGCCCTTGAAAAAAATGTGTGATTATTATATCAGTGATTTGGTACTGTGAAGACGGCCCACAGGAGAACTCAAGAAAGCTCTAAGAAGCTGAGAAAGATCCGAAGATATCCCATCGGATCGTTTTTTGGAAGGATATTCCAGAATCCCTACGTGTAGTATCCCTATTGGACAAATGATAAAAACCCCTTGTATGCCGATAGGAGGACTATAATGATGATTTCGTTTATACTAAAAACCATAAATACCTGAGAGTTTCGTACGATAATTGACACTGTTTGGAATAGCATTCCATTCACTTGTCTTTTGTCTTCTAGCTTGCGACTTAGAGGGTTCTAGTGTTTGAGTGCTCAAGCGGTACGCGATATAATACGAGTCTAAGCTCTAGATTTAACAGATATAAAGTGGTCAACTTTTCTAACATCAATCAGTTACTAATATTTCTTGATTATCTATGACAGCTATCACTGATAACTGTTTTACTCTAGACATTTTAAACTCCACTAGTCACAGTTTCTTATTTAAACTTCAGAGTAATTTCGCAGATTCCTCATTTTGAAAGAAAACTGAGTTTCATCAAGCAACTATTGAAATCCAAAGTAAACTGTATAACTACTTTATCCTTGTTATGACTTGTCAGCAGTATGGGCATTCGATCTTTAGGTTGTATGACCTCTGCAGCCCTCTCAAGCTAATAAAATACAGAAATTATGGTTTAACTATTTGATGGTAGTAGAATCTACTTACTTTTGAAACTGATTCAAGCTGATTACTACAATAGAAGTAAATTATATATACACAAGATATGAGTTAACTGTAACTTTAAATAAACCTTTTTTACTACTGTGAGCTATTTGTGTAGCCCCGTAACTCATCCTAACCGATAAATTGAGTGGTATGAAGTAAATGCATATCCTACTTTTGATTGACTGCTTTGTACCTTGATGAGAGAATAGAGGATCCCCTTAGAAATGATTTAAACATGCGAAAACCAATTGTAGTATTTCATTAAGTCATCCTTTAGAATAATTAAGGTTACTGAACGAAAACAATCTGAATACAATTCTAGTAAACCCTTCTGAATCCTATAGATTGATCACAATAAGATTTTACAACTACATCCCAATATAATTGTGACATTCTCACTTTAAGTTATGAATTCCGAAACTACTAGCTTGTATAAATAAGCATTTAACTACTTGTTATTATTATCATCTTCATTTATGCCTCTCAGGTGCATACTACCTACGTTAAATCTTCTGAGGAGATCAAGTTTATGATTTCACATAATCCTACAAGTTGCGCTTGTAGTGACCTACTTATATGAAGAGGACGCGATTGGTGTTATGAAAACAATTATTATTATAACCAATTGTACCAGTGATTGTTTTACTGTACTTGCTTGTTTAACTGTACTAAAAACATACCTTCTTCCGTTGACTGTGACCTTTCACGCACTCGCGTACGCTCAGTAACCACACTTGTAACCTGGCACGATCTCGATATTCTTTCGATACCCCAAGATCGCTAACGAATACATCTCGACTACAGCCATCAACTGCCTTCTGTTATTTGGCTTATGAGGGATCTTATCGGTTAACTGGCACGTAGTCTTCCTGTAGTAGTGATCATAGTCAACCGCGACTCGACGCCACACCACACGCTGATGACTGTATCATATCTCACTGTATTTAGATATTTACATGTTTCTGTCAGCACACACACACACACGTATATATATAGAACGGAGTAATCAGTTAATACAGTCAAGATTGATGGCAATTTTATTGATACTTTTGTTTCTCGCAAAAATAATTTCTATTTTCTTTTATGATTCATTCTGTAAGAAATAAGTTTTCCAGTTTCATGGATAGTTGATCTCTTCAACTAGATTAATCAACATTTATTTCAATCTTTTATCAATAAATAGTACCATGGTAACACATGATCTCTTAATAAACCTATTAATTTGTTATCATGATACTATATGAGTAGATGGTATACTATGCAAAGTATACTTATCATCTAAGTATTGACAATATCTAACATCGAATATATGAAACATATTTAAATGGAAATTATATTTAATGGTTGAGAGCATGAGTCAATTGAATCTAGATCATCATGGAAAACCTGGAAACATTTGACAGCCATTTCGTCCTATTGTGGGACTCCATAGAAGTGCACATTCACGATCTCGCCTCACGGGATTCGAACTCAGGACCTATCAGTCTCGTGCGCGAACGCTTAACTCCAGGGTTTCCTTCACTACTCTAATCTGATCTTTCTCAAGGGATTGATATAAAATCAAAGTAATGAAATACAAATACAGTTTCAATGTAACTGTTTTATTAAACGACTGTTCAATCATCTTAGAAAATTTGAGATTAAACGTTTTAAAGTGTGAATATTCTTTGTTTCTTGAAATTGGGGTAGCTAAACTGTCGTATGCCCTGATGGTTTTCTCATAACTTTTGGGTTGCCTGATCTGTCAAGGGTGATGGGACAGTGCATGATTCTAACGTTGTGTGCTAGGCTCAAAGAGAATTGTATGCTATATACTTGCAAATCCACCCCGTTATTGTTCCTATATTGTTATTGTGTTGAAGTTAAAGAAAAATTTATGTCGATTTATTCAGTTCTGATGCCCCTAGTGGGCTACAGACAGAGATAAAAGTTGTCAAGCTTATCTAAATATTCACAGAATACAAACAAATAAATACGTTTATGTTTGCGCTCTGTTAAAGAGACTGGTTATTTAAGGAATACACAAATTCAACGACTGATTAAAACAAATGAAGGTACACTGTTATTATTCTTTGTGTCGTTTTCGTGATATTTCGATAACCGTCGTGAAGATTCTCAAATGTTCTAATGTGAGTATCCTTTGTAGCTTCTTCTTTCGGTCCTCTATGGTGTAATGCTGTTTGTGGATCCTGTAGTGTGCATCAGTTAACATCAGGTGTACCATTTTCCTTTCACTTTGCTCAACTATTCTCCATCACATGGGGCAGTTGATTGGATATCTATATCTTACACTTGTTGATAGAACATACTGACGAAAACACTCGTGGAGAAAATACAGTTGTTTTCGAGTGGAAGCCTACCTTTTGGCGAACATCTCCTATTTTCGAATAACGAAAAGCGTACTACGCTCATGTGATTTGGAGGTGGGTGATTTTGATGAAGTTTCCTCGGATCTGGATGGTTTGGTCGTGAAGCATCCATCGTTCTTCTGAACGACATCAGTATAAACTTCTACTTGAAGACTATATATATGTTCTCTTGAGATCGATTTTATATCCTTTTCCCAATGAATATTTTCCTACCATCGATCAATTTTCAAATTTACCAATATCTTCTTAGAAGTTCGGAATATTTTCCATACATTTTGTGTTCCTTTATTCATATATTCAACTGTACCAAAGTCTCACTTATATATACAACACTATATTCTGTACATTTAAGCTTACAAACAAAATTCAACTTGTTCAATTTTGGGACTATTTCCCTGACTTTTACCAACTTAGAATTAAAAGTAATTTCTGTTCGAAAAATTAAGAGATTCTTCAACCCTTTTTATGCTCAAACAAGCATCAGATTAAGGTTTATGAAACTCATATGGAACTGGATATAGAGATTATG